TATATATATATATATATATATATATATATATATATATATATATATATATAGTTACTCGAATGGTTTTTTTAACTAAATCAAGGGAAATGAACAATGATAGCTAATTTTATTTACCAAGCAAACAAGTACCTAGTCAAGGTGAGAACCTAGCATTTTTGTCATTCTTCAAGTAACCTAAATTTAAATTCAAACAGCATAAAATATTAGAACAATATCAATTTATTTTGTAAAATAAGTTTCGATAGTTATAAATTTATCTTACAAAGTTTGAAAACCATTGGAATAAGAATAAAACTATAAAATCTATTCATATAATGTAGTATTATTGTGTTGCCAAATAACAATGAAAACCATTAGAATAACCTATAAAATCTATTTATATAATGTAGTATTATTGTGTTACCAAGTAACAATGAAAACCATTAGAATAAAACTATAAAATCTATTTATATAATGTAGTATTATTGTGTTACCAAGTAACAATGAAAACCATTAGAATAAACCTATAAAATATATTTATATAATGTAGTATTATTGTGTTACCAAGTAACAATGAAAACCATTAGAATAAAGCTATAAAATCTATTAATATAATGCAAAAACTTAAATTAAGACCCAAATCTCGAGCGCTTTCGACTAGTTGACTATTCTTCTTCAGGAGAACAAATGGTGTTTTCTTCTCCGGAAGAAGAATAGTCAATTATTCGAAAGCTCTCAAGTTTTGGGTCTTATCTTAAGTTTATTACACTTTATATATGATCCTTTATGCTAACTCTTTTATCAAGATATTCATATAATGTAGTATTATTGTGTTAACAAGTAACTACGTCCAAGTTATTCACATTAACTGCAGTAACATTAATTTTTACAATGATGTTATGATACCATTAAACTTTTTAAAAGTTAGCTGTGTAACAACAGTGTAAAGAAATTTTCAGTATTTATTTTATGAAAGATATAATATTTTAGATCAATCAGTGTTGATCCTGTAGTCCTAAAATAACCTAAACATATCAAATAAAGTTAAAAGAACATAAATATTAGAAACCAGCATTTCAAACTTTTTAACTAAGACTAATTAGGCATAATTATTTACAATGATATTTAAAAAAAAATGTAGCATTGGTAAACAGGATGTCTATTTGTTAAATTTTTAAAAGGTCATTACTTACACAGTCAAACAATACAGTTTCATTTTTATGAGACATCAAGAGTAAGAGAAAATCTTTCTCATGATAATTCTATCTGTTAAACAATAAAATTGATTCTGTAACAAGTTTATGTCATAAGAACTGTAGGTGTCCTAAACAATATTAATTTTGATGAAAAATGTATAGTTGCATATCTGCTTCTTTGTTAATTTTCAGTAGAAATTCTTTCCGAGGAACTTCAGCGATACAAGTCCTTTCTTGATTAAACCAGTTTATTCTTTCTCGATACAAACTTTTAATACACAGTAATTCCACAGTTAATACATCTCTCGTACTTTAAACTTAACAACTTTTATAATACACACTATAAATCACAGTGATCCACACACTTTACTTACTGTCACTACTGTTCGCTTCTTTAATTATCTATCTCTATCTCCATTGCTGGTTTTCTTTGCTAGGCTTATATACTAAAAAAGAGGGCATCTAGCAAACACTCGGACATTTG